GTCAAATAAAGGAAAACGAACTATTCATGAGCTGTCATATATAGGAAACCGCAATCGCTCAATTATTTAAAACCATAGAGAAACACAGAAAAATAATCACGCAAATTTCGATAATCACGCGTTGTTCAAAGTCACGCAACGAAACTAGAACTGTTCATAACAATTAAGTTTAAAAGTCGGAATCTTTAAAACGAGGAATCTTTAATAGCGGGAATCTTTAAAACGAGGAATCTTTAAAAGCGGGAATATTTAAAGGGATTCTCATGCTGAAATTATTTTAGCAATTTAATCATGTTGAGTGTTGAAGACATGTGCTGACTGCCCTTCCATTGTAGCGTAATTTTAACTGTGTCAAGAGTCGCGAATTTTGATGGATTCGCTTAATTGCATAAAATTGAAATAAAGAGCAACTTCGATTTGGTCGATTTCATCTCACGCTTCTTAAGATTCCTCATTTTAAAGATTCTCGCTTTTAAATATTTCTCATTTTAAAGATCCTCGCTGTTAAAGATTCCCTATCTTAAAGATACCCATTTTAAAGATTCCCGCTTTTAAAGATTCTTTATTTTAAAGATTCCCCATTCCCCATTCCCCATTCCCCGTTCCCCATTCCTCGTTCTACACTTCTCATTCTCCATTTCCTATTTTAAAGATAGCCATCACATTATTATTTCAGAAATGGACGGTGCGGTTCAGATTTTCCTCTCAACCCGCCTTTCAATTCCAGTAATGGTTAGAAATGTTTCATTATTATTCTTATTTTTTCGCCACAAAGTTCTTCGAACAGTTCATCACGCCCTCATCGCCGATCTTGCTGTAGTCGATTTTCTACGCAGCATCGTCAGCTTTCCCCTTTCCATCTTTTCCATCTACTACGCAGTCCTTAAGCCTAAATCGTTTGCGTAGACTGTCTCTTGTCTCCATATCAGTTCGGCTTCATCTTGAATTCTCTGTCCACCGTGACGTTACAAATGGTGGAAAGATACCTTGCTATATATTTTCATGTCGCATGCAAAGCAAATAAGTACAAGACGAAAACCATAGGGGTTATTTCTTTCATTCGGTTATTTCTTTCATTCAATTTTAACAATCACTTTGTCTTTACACATCTCGGTCTACCACACTGATGTACGGAATTCAACAGCTTTGCACTACAGAGAAGTTTATGAAACGGAAACCGAGAAAGCCTTACCATAGGTTGTTCCTTTTCTCGTTGCAACTATTCTTATTTTTGGATAATTTTCACTGAATCTCAAAAAGCTTGCACGCCTGAGACAAGTCGGAAATGCGGCACACAAGTCCCAACGCAGACCATTCTTCAAGCCCAAAGGCTCGCAAAAAATCGTTGTACACAGTTTTAATTCTTCTCTTCACAATCGAAACTGCTTATCTGTTCGCAGCGATCTTGTTTGACGTTTGATTTGGACAAAAGGAGCCTCAATAAAGAAAGTGTGGTTTTCTTTAGGGATCAGTGCTTATGCTGTCTTTACCCAGTGTAGTTAATCCGTACATCGTCCTGTTCCGGGTGAAGAAATTTACCGACAAACTAAAAACGCTGATAAACAGTGTTAAACGTATTTGTTTCAGCTCANGTATTTACTTATTTATTTCTAATACCCGCCAAGACTAGCTAATGCTATATGCGGGTTGTGTAAATTTGCTTGTAATGTTCTGTAAAATAATAATAAACAATAACAACTGCTGAAACAAATCCGTTTAACACTGTTTATAAGCGTTTTTAGTTTGTCGGTAAATTTCTTCACCCGGAACAGGACGATGTACGGATTAACTGAATAGCTGTGTATAACCCTGTATAGCTGTGTACGGCGCTGTTTAGCTGTGTATAGCGCTGTTTGGCTGTGTATAGCCCTTTATAGCTGTATATAGCCCTGTATAGCTGAGTATAGCCCTGTATAGCTGTGTATAGCCCTGTATAGCTGTGTATAGCCCTGTATAGCTGTGTATAGCCGTGTATAGTCCTGTTTAGCTGTGTATAGCCCTGTATGGCTGTGTATAACCCTGTATAGCTGTATATAGCCATGTATAGCTGTGTATAGCCCTGTATAGCTGTGTATAGCCGTGTATAGCTGTGTATAGCCCTGTATAGCTATGTATAGCCTTGTATAGCTGGGGATAGCCCTGTATAGCTGTGTATAGCCCTGTATAACTTTGTATAGCCCTGTATAACTGTGTATAGCCCTACATAGCTGTGTAGGGCCCTGTATAGCTGTGTATAGCCCTGTATAGCTGTGTATAGTTGTGTATAGCCCTGTATAGCTGTGTATAGCCATGTATAGCTTTGTATAGCCCTGTATAGCTGTGTATAGCCGTGTATGGCCTTGTTTAGCTGTGTATAGCTGTGTATGCCTGTATATAGCTGTGTTAAGCTATTTATAGCTGTGTATAGCTGTGTATATTATAATATAACTGTGTATAGCACTGTATAGCTGTGTATAGCCCTGTATAGTTGTGTATGGCTCTGTATAGCAGCTTATAGTCCTGTTTAGCTGTTTATAGCTGTGTAGCCCCGTATAGCTGTGTATAGCTCTGTATAGCTGTGTATAGCCCTGTATAGCCGTGTATAGCTGTGCATAGCTGTTTGTAGCCGTGTATAGATGTGATTAACCCTGTAAGCTGTGTATAGCTCTATCTAGCTCTTTATAGCCGGGTTTAGCCCTGTATAACTGCGTTTATTAAAAACTGGATCATTGGATAATGCAATTCAAGACTTTTCATTGGCTTAGCCATTATGGTATATGAGCCAATATACCATGAACTACGATATGGTAAGCGTACGCATAAGCTTAAAATTGAAAGGGAACTAAAAATGTATTAAAATTTAATAATTCAATGTATAACTGCGTTTATTAAAAGCTGGATCATTGGATAATGCAATTCAAGACTTTTCATTGGCTTAGCCATTATGGTATATGAGCCAATATATATTGTTGGATATGAGATGATTGAGCTATGATTGAGTTGGATGATGATTGAGTTGGATATGAGATGATATGAGATGATGAGCCAATATATATCGTTGGATATGAGATGATTATAGCCAACTCGGCGAGTTGGCTATCTATCATCTCATATCCAACGCGAGCTCGCGGAATAATTGTTAAATAGCCCTCTATAGCTGTGTGTAGCCGTGTAGAGCTGCGTTTAGCTCTGTATAGCTGCCTATAGCCCTATATAGCCGTGTATAGCTGTGTTTAGCCCATATAGCTGTATATAACTCTATATGGCTGTGTATAACCGTGTATAGCTGTATTTAGCCCTGTTTAGCCCTATATAGCCGTGTATAGCTGTGTATAGCCATATATAGACCTATGTAGCTGTATATAGCCGTGTATAGCTGTGTATAGCTCTCTAGAGGTGTATATGTTGCATGTATTGTTAGGATATAGGTATTTATTGTATGGCTGTGTTTCACAAGGACTGGGAACTACCAAATTCATGAATTTGATTGGCTGAAATCCATATTGAAAGCGGTCTAGATTTTCCCATCTAGACCGGCATCTAGACCAGTCTAGAAAAAAAAAAAAGTTACAAAGAATATAATGTTCCGTTGCTTTCTAGACACAGCCATATAATAAACATCTTATTAACCGAGCTAGGTCGGTCTGTATGGGANAAACAGTCGATCGCTGAAAATAAAAAAAAAGTCTTGCGATGGCTTCGCCCGTAAACTATTTTTTCGACCATGAATACACACAATAATTTCTACAAGTTCGTTAAGATGTAACTAGGCGAAAAAAGCTCTCGATAACATTCCATTTACAACATTTACAAGAAGTTCTACACAACACTCGCACTCACCTTTCCCCCCATGTCTGACGCCATGTTGAAATAGTTCCGATCCATCATCACGTATTCGCATAATCCAATTAGAAATGGACTTCTGATTTGAACGATGATCCGCGCCTTTTCAGAACGAATACGGCTATCGAGAATCGGGTTGAATATTCAAATAATCAATCCATTATTGCATTCTTGAAACGGGTAGCGGGTTCCATGTTCAAATATTCAATTTGTTATTGCGCTCCTGAAACGATTAGCGGGTTCAATATTCAAATAATCAAATCATTAATGTAATCCTGAGGGGTACACTTCACTTAGTTTGACTGTAATCCTTAATTTTACTCGGCCCCATGCGATTACCTATACTTATTGCGCAACACTGTAAGGGTCGCGTCCGCTTTTCCAGTAGTGAGCTTGGGCTGCCTGTGCGCAACACTGTAAGAGTTACGTCCGCTTTTCTAATAGTGAACTTGGGCTGCCTGTGCGCAACACTTAAGAGTCACGTCCGCTTTTCTAATAGTGAGCTTGGGCTGCCTATGGCTGCTGCTGGACGAATGACAGAACAAAGATCATCAAGTCAAAAGAGCTGTATAGCATAAATTGTGCTACCTCCCTTAATCAAGACAGTTTGCTAAGGGTAGATACGAACCAACGAAGAATGAATAAGCTTTAATGTGGAAAGTGAGAGACTTAACAAGGATCAAGGATCACAAATGCAGAACCTCGTGACGATCCTTGACAAAACTACTCAGCATGACATCTATGATAGGCCGCGTGACCTCTTTCGTTACCTATCGTGACTTTCGCCGACTGTTGAAAGAGTGTTCGAATTACCCTCCGCTCGCCATGTTTAATGACTTCTTGTTGCTAAGCGTTGTGTTCTCATTTCAAGGCGCCCTTTTACTGACTGCTCTTATCTTAACTTTGTACATCACTTTTTCCTTTTTCGGCGATGTACGGGTCTCGAATCTGGAGAAGAAAGCCGTGTTTATCACCGGCTGCGATAGTGGATTCGGCTATGAGTTAGCCAAGAAGTTAGATGCCGAAAGATTGCGAGTGTTCGCTGCTTGTCTCACTTCTGAAGGAGAGGCAAAACTGAAAACTGAATGTTCTTCGGAGCTTATCACACTAAAACTGGACGTTACCAAGTCAAGAGATATTCAGTGCGCTTTACAGGCCGTCAAATCACATCTGCCTTCTCAAGGTATTTCATGATTATCGTTCGATCGAACTGTATTTAATCTTGTTCATTCCTTCGAAGATTAGCTGAGATAGCGTCGCTGATTGCATTTGGATGAGACTTAATTCACGTTTTACGTGTCTATGTAAGGTGAATGTTAATAATTTTTTTACTTTTCACTGATTCAAAGGTTTGGATATCTTACAATGGTTACTCAAGAAAAACGATAAAAAACATAGACACAAACCAAAACAAACAAAATCAGTCATTCATTTTTATCAAATGACATACAAAAAACAATTTTCAGATGGGCGGATGATGTTCACAACTTTTCAAGGATTATGGACCACTTGATCATCGGATGACTGTGGACCAAGTTGTAAACGTTGATCAAGAAATTAGTAAGGGTGGAGTGGGTAGGGAGCTGTAACTTTTTGTCAAGGTCCGGGAAAGGGAAAGTAATTCCTTATGTAGGTTTTCTGGTATCTTAGTTGTCTCCTTTCCCTTATTTATCTGGAATTTGAGGTAGATTTTGCTGTCTGGATCTGAAATCAGGTTAGGTTTTCCACAAACTCTGTAAACATTTTTTTGGAATCCAGTCTAAAATAGAGTGAGAGATGAACACTAATTTTTGTTCTAAGCTGGGAAAAGGCTTCAACCACTATACCACCCAGCCTCCCATCCCATCTTTAACTGCCTCCCAGTTAGCTCAATGGATAGAGTGCTGGACTGTTGTGCGGGAGGTTGAGGGTTTGAGCCCTGGCCGGACCAACACTCAGGGTCTTAAAATAATTGAGAAGAATATGCTACCTTTCTATAACATCAAGAAATGGTTAGATATTCTAGTCTTCTCGGATAGGGACAGGGTTAGGGGCAGGAGACGTTAATTTCCCATGCACGAGATTACTGTGTGATGGATGTCCTCCCCTGGGGTGGGATGGGTGGGTAACAGGACCCCCATTGATACCAGTGTTTACTACACTGAAGGGGCTATCCTGTATAAATATGTCTGTCTGTCTTTACATTTAGTCAATATTTTCAATGGCACATGTTATCTCTTGATCACAGGTGAAATAAAGGTGTGTCCTCTGGTCTGATTTTAAAGAAAAGTTCAACCTAAGGTGTCATTTGAAAATTCCATTTTTCTTCTATACAAAAAATTATTTTGTACCTCTCTAGGTTTGTGGGCTATAGTAAACAATGCAGGCATTGGATATCCAGGGCCAATTGAGTGGCAACCTGTGGAGGAAATGAAGAAGACTTTGGAGGTAAACTTGTGGGGAATGGTGTCCATTACTAAAGTATTTCTTCCATTTCTCAAGAGAACCAAGGGGCGCATTGTCAACGTTGCCAGTGCATCAGGGAGGCTCTCTTCTCCTTTTGCTGCAGCTTACTGCATCTCCAAGTTTGGTGTTGAAGCTTTTTCCGATGCACTACGCAACGAAATGAAGCATTTTGGAGTCACTGTTCACATAATTGAGCCAGGAACTTTTAAAACAGGCATAACAGATGCAGAGAAGAACATCCAATACCTACAGAGATTATGGGAAAACCTTGATGGAGATACTAAAGAATGTTATGGAGGGGAGTTTTATGAGCAAGGTATGGAAGAGTTCAGCTATCATCTTTTTTTCATTGAATGTTCTGAGAAAGGGCTCACCATGATTGGCAAGAACTGAAAGATGTAACAGCATGTTACGGCCTGCTTTGCTGTTTGCAAGAAAGCTATAATTCATGGCACATAGCAAGGTGTATTTCACTGTACTGCTGGTAAAATTGGGCCATGAATCTGAGTGGAAAAAGACAGGTCCAAAACATCAATACAGACCATAAACTCTGTGAGGGCGAGTCACTGGACACCCACACCAAACCATTACCCCTCACTGATCAAAACATTTCTGAAATACTCAGTATAACTCGGTAAAGTGAAATGAAGAATATGACAGTTGCCATAAGGTAAACACTTAATATTTTAATTTTTCTTCCGTTAGCTCCTTTTTAGGCAGCGAATTGCTTCTTTTGCAGTAATACAACTAATGTGGTTTGATATTTTCCACTTTTTTTTCAGCCAAAGCTAAGTTAAGAGACATACGTCATATTTTTTCACCTAATATTTTCAAAGTGGTTGATGCCATGGATCATGCAGTGACATCTATGCATCCTAAACTAAGATATGTCCTTGGACTGGACCACCAACTCATTTGGAGAACTCTCTCATTCCTACCATCTGAAATACAAGATTTCTTCTTTGGACTAGTGTTGCCAAAACCAAAGGGAAATCCTGACCATGACAACTAACTCAACTGTTGGTTCAAAAGTAAATGGTTCCCAGAAGATCCACCTTGTGTGCATATTAAGTCATTAACAGATGTAAAATTGTAACCATCTACACCCTAACACCATATTTTGGAAGAGGGGATTCAGAAAAATATCTTAGTACACCTGGTAAATATTTTACCAAAACTAATTTACTTTTGTATGGAGGTTTGTTAACATTTAGCATAATAATCACCAGTAGTGCATTTTAAACACAACATACTGTAATGATTAAAATGAACTTCGCACATGAAAAGTAATTGTAAAACATAACACTGTCAGTCTCGTGGATTATTTCTTCAGTGGATAAGGAGCTTGAAAATGTTAAGCAGAACAGTCTCAACCTCTCAAGGTTGTCAAAATAATTGTTTGAATCTCCTTTACTAAGAGATTTGATTCTAACTCAACATGTCTGTGAATATACCTTTTTTCCAAGGGTGTTAAGGGTGTTTTCAAAGTTCTTTGTACTGAAAACAGAAAACAGGCAAATTGCTTCATTAAACTGCTTTTTTAATTGGTTGCCAGCTGCATATTCTAATTCAACATGCTGACTGATTTGCAATGAAATGGAATATGAAATCACTATTGTGTGAAACAATTCCACCATGCACAATGAAAATCCTTAAGATTAAATTACCCACACATTTTCCTGAAAATCAACCATGAAAATATTGAATCAACATTTAACTCATTATCAATATGCATTCCTTCATCAGAAATCACAAAAACAAAACCAAAGCCAAGTAAACTGAACATTGGATTTCTAGCCAGCCTTAAAAGCTGAAAGCTTAATAATAATTATAATACTACATCCCTCCTAGGTAGGTGAGATGTTTAAATAGCATCAATGTCCAAGTCATCATCATCCTCTTCAACTGCTTTGTTATCTGCTTGAGCTTTCAGCTCCTTTGCCTTATTGTCATAAACAACTTCAATCTCTTCCTCTTCTTCGTCCTCTTCACTAGAATCCTCTTCTTCTGCCTCCTTTAGCCACTTGATAAAGGGAGCCACCTTCTCATGGATCTGCGAGCACACCTCCCTACTCACATACTTCTTTGAAACCTTGAAAAAAAAAAAAAGAAAAGAAAAACAATAAAATAAACAATGCTGATTTGAAAAGATCACCCTGAATAAATTTCACTGATTTCTACATTGTTGAGTGGCTTTGAAAGCCTCTAAAGCAATTATTTCTTCACAGAAAAAAATGTTTAAAACCATCTATGGTAGGTTTTGACTAGTATGCATGTCTACACCTACTTGGAAATGAAAGGCTTGCTATGCATGAAAATGTATGTATGTATCTTTGAAGAGTGCCATGATTGGTCATGTACCTTCTCACCCCACTGCAAAATAACTTCTTCCTCTAGCAAATCTGCATCATAAAGCGCTTTTAGAATGCGAACGGCCTTTGGCATCAGGTCTGCTGGAAATGACTGTCCAACGAGCAATTCAAATGCACCCAGCATATACTTCTGGGCCTTGTGGTTTCCATGTAGAAACTATGTGAAAGAAAAATGTTTGGTGAAAAACCCAAACTGTATTGTTAACACTAGAAAAAAAAATTGCAAAACCTTCAAGTAAAGCATCTTAAACAAAACCAAACACTTGAAAATATGACTAGTAAATCGACAAAAAGGGTGATAAGATGAGAAGCAGAAATCAGTTGGTTTCAAATTCCAAATTCTAAATAAAACAACCCTTTGCTTCGCACAAACTTTCCTTCAATCTACGGGTGATTTGTTCAAGTTTTCAACACAAGTTTATCAAAAGTTCAAAAAGAAATATTCACAGTATTTTAACACAAAACAGAAGGGCTCACCCTCAGAAACAGGTTACGGAATTTAGGGATTTCCTCGAGCATGTTCTTGTCAAACAGAACTTCACTAAGAGCCAGTACTCCCTTGTCTTTAATATCCAGCCTTTCTGCTTCAGCAACAATCTCTCCAATGACACTTTTATCCATGTTTGATTCCTTCCTTTTCTGTAGAACAAAAAGAAAATGAGGGGCATACACACAGATGGGCTGATCTTGCTCTATCACAAGGCTGTGATACACTGTAAATTGATTTGTGTAATGAGACTGACATGCAAAAACATTTATTAGTGAAAACCCTGATCACTAAAATTGTCATTCTACAGGATACAAGGGTGGGCAGAAATGCAGGGAAGCAGAACGACCGAAAAATATACTAAAACTTGTTGCCTGGGAATTTGTTACCATTCATAAATAAGTCAGGTACCTTGACAAAGTTGTAGAAGATATTGAAGCGCTCCTCCTGAGGCTTTTCAGTGTCATCGGTCAATGCCAAACCTTTCACTCCTGATGTGAGAGTACCCATTCGTTCTTGAACAGCGGCATCACTGGTGTCAACACTCCAATCATCATCAGCTGCAGCAGCAGCCTGTTAACAGAAATACAACACAAACTAATGATAGAAATGCTAAAAATGAGGGAGAAACTATCAAAGTAATGACAAATAAAAATAAATGTAATTATGTAAAATGGTAATTGTGTGGAATTCTGAATTTCTGGTGAAACTGCAAAATCAAAGTGCATTGATTTGGTATGCTAGAGAAAAAGAGTTGCTTCCAAAATTATATGTTTAAGTTTCATTCGATAAATTAGTTAAGTTGAATTTTGAAAATACATTGCATAATATAAAGGCACATACATTTTTAAAGTCAGGGTTTTCAATTCCATTTTCTCCTGGCTGCATAGGATTGTGTGTTGGACTAGTTTCACCATTTTGTTGCCCTTTCTGCTTGTCTTTGCGGCCTCCTTTTTTCTCTCTAAAATAAGAAAAAACGAAGTGCCCGTATGTCAAAGCTGGGGCTGACAATGAATTACAAATACATAGATACTCTACAGGCACTTAACAGTCAATTTTGATGTTTAAAGGTTAACAGAGATTTCTCAGGGCTATGCTTTGCTCTTGTATGCTTTGCTCTCTAATTCCTTACACAATTCCTTGCACAATGTGCAAGACCACAGGTAGTCTACCACTTACTTTTTTGATGGCGTTCCCGACTCATTTGGGGGATTCTTACAAATGAAGGTGATCAGTCGATGCTGCATGTGGATGTACCCATTATATCCACAAGCTTTACATTTCTGACCAATCCTCTCTTTACGTGCTTCAACCAACTAATATTTAGAAAACAAAGAAAATCAAATCTTAATTAACCCTCTTTTAACTTCAAACAGTTTAAATCATAACAGTTGCTGGACAGAGGTAGTCAAGACAAATACATGTACAGTATGTCAGACATGCAGCATTGGTCAGGCTCTACAACAAAGAGTATAGAATATGGCAACCTTTTCCCTTCAAGGAAGTTGTTTTTGTTCAACTTATGTTGCATACATTATTACCATAATTTCCAGCTGTTTACCTGCATGGCCAATTATTGTATATGGCCAAAAAAAAAAAAAGTCAACAGATTACTCACACTGGTGGATAACCCGCACCTTATAAGCAAAGAAGCTTTGTACAAAAGGGCTCTAGAATTAACAACATTTCACACTCAACAGAATGCAAATTGGTGGCCACAATTTGTGCGAGTGATCATCCAAGGCCATGTTGAATTGTTGATTTCTCAAAAAAATCGATATCTCCAGTTCTACTGGGCCTAACAAGTCCCTTAAAACCAGAAAATTCTCTTCAGCTCAAGCTAGTGTTAACTGGAAATTTGTTACTGATGCACCCGATACCCTTGCATTATTTTTATCTCCATCAAGGTTTTGTTTACACGCGTGCTGATAAAAATTTGTTTGTCACGCAAGTAATTGTGTGTGAAACAAACTCAAGTCAGCATCATGTTTTCGTGCCACTTTGTGGCACTCTTAATACAATAAAATTCATTTGAGAGGTGAAAACACAGGTAGGTGACAATTCAACTACCTGACTGTATATTTCAAAATTGTCACATAACCCACACCTCCCTATTACCCGCAGTGGCGTGTCTTTAAGGCAAACTCAACAGATTACCTGCGGGTAAATGGCCAGAAATTACAGTACTAATGACACAATATGCAGCAGCAATGATTTTAGCTTTTTGTTTGACCCTTCAGATCTACCATGAAGATCTTCCTTGTCCAGGGTACTATTCATTAGTGAGTCATCTTGGATGTCTTCACCTTCATCTGTTCTTGATAAAGTGCTGATGAAATTGAGTGGTTCAGAAAAAAATTCTGAAGCAAGATGGCAAATCTTTCAGTATACCTCTTACTGATCAAGTTTGAGGTTTGTACTGCAAGTTAAGAACCACGTTTTTCCTGACTGGATTTACAGCTCAAGCACAAATCCTTGAAAATATTAAGTGCAAGCTTATCTATAAAATGAACTGTCACCACTAGTTAATTCAAAGAGACAAAATGTTACCATGAATTAAAGAAAAAGTCAGCTGTCAACTTACCAGATCAGTCTCTGGGTTATCACAATCTGGGCATAAAACAAACTTCTCAATAAATCCATCAAGAATGTCCTGCAATTTCTCTGCATCATGGGATCCATTCACAATGTAACGCTCATTCTTCAAGTCTATCTGGGTTTGTGCACCCAATTCACAACCAAAGTACTTAGTGGGATCTAAGGGAGGAGAAATTATAATGTATAGCAACGTAACCATGCAGCAAGTAAATTAACACCAGAAAAGGTAAGTTGGGTGGATACCGTAATTTCTGGCCGTTTACCTGCACCGGCTGATTATTACGTGCAGCGAAAAAAGGTCAACAGATTACCCGCACTGGTGGATAACTCGCAACTTAAAAGCAAAGGAAATTTGTACAAAAAGGCTCTGGAATCCACAACGTTTCATTCTTGATGGAATGCAAATTTGTGGCCATGTTTCGTGTGAGCCATCATTCAGCACCATGTTGATTTGTTGATTTTTAAAAAAAAATCGATATCTGTGGTTCTACTGGGCCTAACAAGTCCCTTAAAACCAGAAAATTCTCTTCAGCTCAAGCTAGTGTTAACTGGAAATTTGTTACAGATGTGCCAGTTATCCTTGGAGTATTTTTGTCACCATCAAGGTTTTGTTTACACGCATGCCGATAATAATTTGTTCGTCGCATAACTGTGAGTGAAATAAACTTGAGTCAGCATCATGATTTCGTGCCGCTCAATACAATAAAATTCATGAGAGGTGGAAACGCAGGTGAGACCTTTTTTCAATTCAACTGCCACTAGATTTCAAAATTGTCACATAACCCACACCTCCCTATTACCCACAGTGGCGTGTGTTTAAGGCAAAATCAACAGATTACCCACGGGTAAACGGCTGGAAATTAGGGTACTTGGCAATATGCAGTTGAGTTTTTCCAAAAAAATTTTTTTTTTGTATGCTGACCAAACATTACACAAGGGCTAGTACCTGATATAAGGTAGGCTCCTGTATGACATTTAAATAGTGCTCTGAACTGAAGACACTGCAATTTTTTTTGTAGGTGAAGTTGTGCCACTAAATCCACGCCACTACATCCAATTACCCAACACTTAATAAATATAATTAAAATGTAACTGGTCTTATTTGATACCCCTGACCGCCTCCTGGTTAGCTCAATTGGTATAGCGCTGGACTGTTGTGCGGGAGGTCGAGAGTTCAAATCCGGCCAGACCAACACTCAGGGTCTTTAAATAACTGAGTAGAAAGTGCTACCTTTGTAATAATATCTGCAAACGGTTAGACTTTCTAGTCTTCTCGGATAGGGACCATAAATGGAGGTCCCGTCTCACAAGCCCTTATATGTGATTTAAATTTGTGGGATGTTAAAAAACCCACACACTCCTTGAAAAGAGTAGGGCGCATAGTGCCCGGTGTTGTGGTCTATCTTTGTGCAGTGTCTATCCAGGGTGAATTGGGGGGAGGGGTGGTGCCTCGCATGGACCTTGTGTTCCGTTCGCACTAACCCTTCCAGTAAAGTCCTTAAAACAAATAAAACAAAAACAAAAACAAAAACCCTATGAATCTGTAAAAATTTAGCAGCAAAAAAATCCTTACATGAAGCTGGCCTTTGTAAGGCTTTAGCAATTTCCACCATATTCACAATAACTGTTTTGATTCCATTTCCTTTTCCCTCCACCTGAAAACATTTGTGAAGCTGTAAACTCAACATTTTATCAGCTTTAGCTCTTGAACTGCAACCATGATAGCAACAAAATAACACCCCTCTGCTTATCTATAAATAAACCCACATTAATACTAGCAAGTTTTTCTCTGTGGGCAGCCCACAGAGAAAACTAAAACTGAAAAAACCTGAATGGGAAAAAAATTGGGAGCTTCAGATTTCCCATGAATCTCCAATAACAATTGCCAAATGTTCACATTTCTTATTTTAAGGACTTGAGGTTGGGTATGCAATAAAGTACATAATTTAATATTACACAAAATGTTCCTTCCCTCCTTTGATTTCTGGTTACCAACATTTCTAAAAGCTTGAAATCCTAGAAAGGGTTCACCTAGAGAAGTTTTCCATAGTAGTAGAGGTGTAAAACAATTTTTGCTATACAAATTTCTTGTTACTCTGGCTTCTTATAGAAATAAAGGAATTTAATTTTCCAACATTCTAAATCATTGATTCTTCAATAAATAAATAAAATTTCACGAGAAGTGTCCATGAAAAGTTTTCCCTGCTAGTATTTATGAAACTTTAGAAACTTGCCTGAAAATTCATTATATTTGTTCAATAAAATCTTACCTTAGCTAGGAGTTTTGGCATCTTGTAACGGTAAAACTGATCGGTGTTTTTTCTGTTGACATTGACAAGAGCCATGATGGACTACTTTTAATAAGCTTTCTCTTTGACAAACGCTTGTAATGATTGCAATTACTGCAATAATTATTTCTGCTGTGTATAATTTTCCCTGTAAAATTCATACAAGTTCTATATCTTTTCCGTATTGTGAAGCAAGGTAGGCGTTTTAGCCCTCTATTAGTTTCCGTGTGTAAATGAATCTTGAGTTTGCTCAACCGAGTCCAACCTGAAAAGATAATATTAAAAAAAACATGTGCATCAATCCATCATACCATTCATTTAAAAGTGGATACCAATAGGCAAATAGATCTATTTACTTCCAATAGATTCATAAAGATTATCACAATGTTGAACCACGGTGTTGAAGTGTAAGGCTGAGCTCTTCAACCCAAATACATCCTTCATACTGACAAATTGTACAAAAGAGCCTTCAATGAGGTTGGACCATAGTCTACACTCCCTTAGAAGAGGTAAAATGGATGCAGGAAAAACAGTTTATGGAACAAAATCACAGCTGACAGAACATTTTTTGCACAAGAAGCTTGCAATACGTAGGAGTTGTAAATTACAGTTATAGGAACAAGCACATTCTTTTGTGAATTAGACCTCAAAGCTTTATATGTGCAAACATCAAACGATAGCTTTTTCAGTTTCCATAATTTTGAAATAGATTTTATTCAGGTTATATGTGGTATGATTTGAGTCCTTTTCCCCTTTTAATCATTAACGTATGCATCTGTTGTATTTATTTCAACAATAATTATTTTTGTAATTATTATTATCATTATTTTGACTACCTACAGATACAAAATAATATAAAGAGAAGGTAAATGTAATTTAAGACTCAACCCTAAAAGATAAAACCCCTTTAAATCATGCCACTAAAAGTGCAGGATAGTTGGAGAAATAGAATAAACAAGTATGGCATCTGATTCCTTGTCCACATGTGCTTCACTGCCTCACTAACTAACAAGAGGTCACCTGCAGAAACTTTGTGCCCTGGAGATCCAAAGTTCACTTCAACACATGCTAATCTATTTAAGACTTAATTCATGCCAACTTTTTTCTAGTTAACACTTTCATTCCCAGACTTATTGGTAATTCCCTTTACTGTCTGCTTTATAGTTCTTGTGATGCTAATTTGGTGAATTGGGTTGCCTTGACTATTAACACCCAAATTGACATTTTTCTTTATTTTCATCACTTCTTTGATTGATATTGTATTCATTTGATAATTTGAGGAAAAATTGTCTTGGTCTAAGGGTGAATCAAAACAAGAGAATAAAATTCCAAAAGTTCAGATCGTTTGGACTTCTCCTGTTTGAAAGAACGAGATATTTTTAGGTAAATGGAGCCAAGACAGTTTGAATATCCCTAAACACCTACATGGTCGATTCTAGACAGTATAAATAGACTGGACTTAATGATTTGGATTCAAAACCTCTTAAAATTTTCACACTGGAAATATTACATCTGCATTAATCAATTTTAAAATTGTAAATATTTATAAATTCATGCGTGAAGGCTTTTTAAACTGGGGGTCAGAAAATAATTCAAGTTTACATTTAGAGTGATCCCAATTTTTTCCTAAACTGTAAAAACGAAAAACGTGTATCTTCCTTACTGATAACTAACATATCTCCTGGTTTCAAACTGTGAGGGCTTTTTTTTTTTTAATAGTGTTAAGTATCGATGGATATTTGAAAATCTAGCGTGCACGCGCTAATTCAAAACATTTTCATCGGTTTGTTTTCCTACTGAGCAAGCCGAAATGATCAAATATTAAGATTTGGACGGTAAGTTGCGCTAATTTCCTCAGACTTTTTTTCGGAATTAAATTCTGATAAAGCATTAAAAAAACTAGGCTTGAAATTTGAGGCCAAATCCGTCATTCACAACTAAAAATAATTTTGAATACATATTTCTTGTTTCAAAACCCAGCTATTCGGACAATATAGCGGTGAAGTTTCTGTTTTCGATCTTCCACGTTTTCGAACAGCCCGAGGGCAACGTGTCCAATAATAAACAGAATTTTAAACTGCATGTTCCACGAGTAAATATGTTTTAAAACTCAGATATTCATAAGACAAAGAAGAAATTCGCTTGGACAAAAACTTCGTAAAATTTGTTTCACAAGAACTTTACCACACACGAGCTGAAGAAACGCGCCGAGCGATCGATATTAGCAAAGACAGCAATTATTGCCGAAGAATTCACAAACAGACAGATGAAAACATTTAACAGGTAAAATATATAAAAATATCACTATTCTAAGAGAGTAACTCCTCCAAATTATGAGTCACCGGTGATTATCTTACCTTCTGAGCACAAAAAAGTCATAAATTGCCTTAGGATGACGAAATCGTCGAAATCTCCTTGCTCAACAATAGCGCGCGAAACACGCACTTTACAGTCCAAACTTTGAGGGAAACACCTAGAAATCAAGACAGAATAAATCTTATTAGAATTAGGTTTTCAGAAAAACAACAGATCGTTTTTCTTGCTTCGTAACAGGCTCAAAATTCGAGAAAAATCTAAGCGAAACTTTACTCACACTTCCTCTGGAAAGATGGCGAGTTGGAGTAAAATTTTTAGTTCACGTGACCTTTTATGACGTCAAAAGTATTCACCAGTTTCTTTCTGCAAAGCAGGTTTTATCTCATCCCCAAGCTCTTTCGGTTCCGTTCATCCAATTTTCCCTTTCTCATTTCTTCCGACCTGATTGTTTACTCTCCAGTGGTGGCTTTCGCAGACGATCAATGATGTACTCTCAGGATTGAGTGATGTGTGTGATATGCTAGAATCAAAATTCCAGCTCTCGAGTTGCTAAAAAACAGTTCTAACTCGTGATTATAGTAGCGAAACTGCGGTGGATTTTTTTTTTGAGGTCCTTCGTGAAGGAGTAACCTCGGATCGATGCAGTGATCTTTGTCTTGACTTTGCGTTGAGATGGAATCGGACGCGGATTGCTTCCCTTTGAAAGACATCTCGTCTGTGGTCGAGGTTTTCAAGACAGAACTCGGGAAAGACGAGCCGAATTTGGCAAAGTTATCGATCATTTTAGGGTTCTTCGAAACGGCCTTAACTTGCAAAGGTTCCTCGAATAGCTGCCCAGGGTTGGACAAAGAAACTTTCGACGCGTTGTATGGTAAATTTCAGGCCTTGATTCAGAAAGATTTGAACGTTAACAAAGAACAGAAGCCAGCCTCGAGGGACTTCGTCGTCAATGTCGCAGATCTTGTGTGGAGTTGCCTTTCCAAATCGTATTTCAAGGATAAACCCCACATTCAGAATCTGTACAGCTTTCTAACAGGTAAGTGGAAATAGCTTGCACCAGTGTTCATTTTATCATAGGCTGTGACTAGATTAATCACCTTAGACTAGCTAACAGATTAGATTCCTCATTCAAAGCCCTGCGTCTTAACAATTTGTAAATGGTCCGTAGTTTTGCCACCTTTTTAGTGATTGATCGAATTTTAATTCGTTTTAATTGTTTGCAATCTCGTATATACGATAATGTCAGTGAGCAAGTCCATCTAACCACGCTAGAGCAGTCTGTATCATCTGTAATTAAAAGTACGCGTATAGGCAAATATTTCGTTTTAGAAATGTATGTAGAGATTAATTGTCACTCATTGATTCGCTTTTTTTTTTAAATGTATTTGCTTTAAACGTCCTTGTTTTTATTTATTTGCAAAAGTGAAAGTTATCAGAATGGGAGCTTTTTACAATTTGTTGTGAGTTTTCACACTCGGATGTACAATTTTTTTGTAAATCAGATTTTTGAATCAAATTATGTCTTAATTAAATGTGTAATTCTGTTTGCTTACCAGAAAGGAAAGTTAGTTACATTTGTAGTACATCTAATCATTTATAGAAAAAAAAAAATACAGAAAAAGCCATGAAACAACAAAAACGATTTTGAAAAATAGTCTTGAGACTGAATCGATTTGTGTTTAGCAGGCACATTTTTTAACAAAGGGGTTGAAAAGGGAAAAGTTACCCTGCGAGCAGAGCCTTAATTCTTCTTTTCTTCTTTTTAACCCTCCAAGGGAAAAGGCTCTCCCAACATCCTGTTGTTGCTTTGAAATGCCGAAAGCCCAAAACTCCGGGCTACTCAAGCCAGTTTTGCCTCCAGTCAAACTGGTTTTGGTGTGCATGCCTTTGTTTTTCATGTACACAGATGACCAAATCTGCACCCACAATAGTTCAAGGGGGCCTGGAAAAGGATCAGTTTCTAGGCAACAGCACCTCATGTTCAAACCAGCAACAACAGGATGTCGGCATAGCCTTTTTCCCTTTTTGATTCGAGGATGGGTTAAAAAGGCTCTGCTCGCAGGGTAGGGAAAAATGTGAAAATTAAAAAAAAAATGATTTACACTGTCATTTAACCCTATTGGTCCAACAGGGTACATCTTTTAAGCCTTTTTTTTTTTCAACGTTGTGGTATGTTTTTTTTTCTTATCATGGGTATGGGGTGGATGTAACTATTGTAACTAACTTGTTACTATGGCATTGTTAGTAACCTTTTACACTCAAATTTAGCATCTTATTTCACCTTATAGTATAATCCCTGAATAAGCATAACTTGCCATCATTATTTGACAAACTCTCCTATTGTAATATATGGATACCATTCTTCAATAAATGCCAAGCCCAGAGAGCTAATTTTTCAGTGAATGCAGAGGGAATCTTTTTTTTTTTTTTTGAGAAATGTCAATAGTATGGTTGGTAGCTACAGAAGAAAGTATAATTAGAATGTAGAGAATATAGATTCCTGTTACACAACTTACATTTTTGTGTCATAAAGTAGATTCTACAAGAGGTGTGGTGGGACCAATTTAAATTAATTATTATTACTCTATATTTCCACAAATAAGCACCTTGGTGCTATTTTGGTTCAAAGGAGGGGTGCATCTTGGAAAGAGGGTGCTTAATTATTAAGGAAAGCGCCTATCATTCTTCTGTACTGATTCCACAGTGGTTGAAACTTAAAAAAGTTATAAATAAAGTGGCGATGGAGACATGTTTTCCTCTTATTCCTTCTAAGAAGGTAAGAGGGAAGGGGTGGAGTACTTTTTAAGGGGGGGGTGCTTGTTTGACATTATTGCCTGAGAGATGGGTTCCTACTCTGCATAGGGCATCAGAGCATGGGCGCTTATTTAAGAAAATATAGTAATCTGTATATTTGTCTTATACTTCAATGATGTGTAGGAAATCGACTTGACTGCTTTGGTGTTGCCTTTACTGTGGTTGCCATTTGTCAAGCTTTGGGTTTCAATGATGTTCATCTAGCTCTGTCTGAAGACCACGCCTGGGTGGTGTTTGGTGAAAATGGCACAGAAACAGCAGAGGTTACATGGCATGGTAAAGGAAATGAGGATAAGAGAGGGCGCCCTGTGGACTTTGATAAGGCCATCGGTCAGAGCTGGCTGTATCTGAATGGGTATCCTGTGAAGTGCACACGGCATATGGAGGTGGCATCCATGGTGTCATCCATTAATCCAGGTATTACAAATACAAGTGACAGTATTGAACTGGCTAGTCTGCAACAGGTATGTGCATTAAAATTTACATATTTTTATTTTTTGAGATTTTGTAGATTGCAAAATTCTACAAGTTAAGACACAGAAAATATTTTTTATCCTCTTCTGAAAATAATATATTTTCTCCCTCATTCTTGAATCTCCCACTATCTTTTAATTACTTTTTTGTTGTTGTATGACTCGTAACCTTTCAACCCCGAAGAAGTGACTGCCTTCTAATTTCTCCTTACAATATCACCCTTGTATCTTCATCGTAAAACAAATTCTCCTTGTAATTACCACTGGAATTGTGGAGAGGTCAATATAGAGAATGTGAATACTAATGTTAGCCGACGCCCGGCCCAAGTCACCGGCTACTTCAAGCATTTGCGCCGGATATTTTTCGTATTCCAGCACCCCACTCCACAAGGCCACTGTTATCGCGACGAGATAGTGTTCCAGCCACTTTACAATTTCCTCTTGCTACTCTTTTTTCAACTTGAAAACCCTGTGCAAGGAGAGAAATTCTGTCTTGGTTTCTTGTGAGAGAAAACAGGTTAAAGTCTGTTTTTTTCAATCTAATGGTATTTCTTGTTTTTCTATCAACAGCAACTCCTGTGGTTACTCTATGACCAAGGTCACCTCAAATGGTACAGTTTTTTGTTTTTTTCAAATGTTTTGAAACATTCATTGTTTAATTTTTGTGATTATTTTGTGAGGTGGCAGAGGGTCTACATGTAAAATGTGATGCATGAATTTTAAATTTATTTAATCACTTTCACCAGAGTATGGTGAGGGTCGCACAACAGAGCGAGGCTCCAAATTAAGTGCGCCCAATATCCCACCCATCCCACCCCAGGGGAGGACATCCATCACACAGTAATCTCGTGTGTGGGAAATTAACGTCTCCTACCCCAACCCTGCAGGAGACGGGACCTCCATTTATTCGTCCCTATCCGAGAAGACTAGAATATCTAACCATTTCTTGATGTTATAGAAAGGCAGCAAATTCTTCTCAATTATTTTAAGACCCTGAGTGTTAGTCCGGCCGGGGCTCGAACCCTCGACCTCCCGCACAACAGTCCAGCGCTCTATCCATTGAGCTAACCGGGAGGCGGTTAAACAATATAAACACAAAATAATCAGTCCACGACACTGACACACCATTCAAAAACGCCGACTTCATTGGTGAAGCAATAAACGAGAACTGTAACACAAGCTTGAAGTCACTGTCATTGTTATAGCTAAAATGAACGATATTACGGTAAATGCCACCAGCTTCAGCCAGCCAGTAGCGCGACGTATTATTTCCTTATGACAGTACATTACAAGTGGGTTGTATAGCCTGAGACTGGTTCAGTCTCCTCCTCGGCTCCTGTTAAGTGCAGAGTAAGCGACAAGAAACGGGAAAATCTTTAATTATCAGTGATATTAAAATCAACAATGCCTGGAAAATTTCTGTAATTCTTTCTCTGAAGGTTTTACCGTCATCTCATCTTGAAGATGAAATATTCTAGAGTGTAGCCCAAATGTGTTGGTTGCTACGATATATGCAGAGCCATAATTAGGTGGCAATGGTTTGTGGGAAGGGGAGTGGGG